GACCCAAAGAGCAGGAGGAGACAGACAGGTGACTTGTTGGCTAACAGTAGAACTGCCACGAACCTTTGGAAGCAGCATTCCATCATGACGGGGCCTGCCTGACATGCCAGTGGCTTTTGGCTAGAAAGGTGGGACCCCCCCTTGTTTCCCACACTGTCCTGATGACCAGCAGTACGGCCAGTCCCAACCTCACGCACCTAGAAGCTGGGGACACGTCCACTGGATAGCCTCTGTTCAGCCTGAGGCTCCCTCTCCCAGCTCCTCTCCTAAGTTTGGAGGAAATCACCCCTCATCCAGAAACCACCACAACTGTGGGCCAATGTTACTCTATCGTTGTGCTATTTCATTTTAGTAGATACTTTCCCTTTTAACTGTCTTACAGACACCAAGCAGCCACACTCAGAAGGTAACCAGTCTAAACCAGACCCTCCCGGTTTGGGTCCCCACACATGCACAGAGCCTTATAACCCACACAACAATTCACTGACACCTGCGTTAGTGCCTAAAAGCAAAGGCACCCCTGACACAGCCCTGGTTTCATCCTAAGCCTTAAAATTAGCCCAACTGCTATCCACAGCCACTTTTTGACCACCAAGCCCAAGGAGACAGGAAAGGACAGTCGCCCTGAGCAATCTCCTTTCGAATCCAGGAAGGCAGGGAGGAACAGACTACTTATGGGAAAGAGAGATGAAGGAGGAATGTACACAAAGATAAGGTTAGACATCAGGAAGTCCCCCTGAAAGATCTAAATGTGCAAAAGAAGAAAACCTTCTTCTTCGTCCTCCCTGACTCCGGCCTGATGGATCAACAAGAGACCCCTCCTGACTGTCTTTATCATAAAGACTTTGAAAAAAGGTTTTATAGAAATTCTTGTTAATGTTTATCTCATCTGTTGTAAGAACCAAACCATTCCCAACTCTATAAAAACAGCACACTGTGTATGGCTTTTGGATTCAGTCAGGCATCCTTTAATCAGATGTCAGTCCATTTCCCATCTCTCGGTCTCTATGATGCTCCCCCCTATTATAATCTTGTGATGATTTTCCCATAGAAAACACACACACACACACACACACACACACACACACACACACACACACTTCTTAGTTTCCCTGGAGTGCAAAACACTGAATACCAGTGCACATGCACAGGGAATTAAAATTGCATGGCCTATAAGTCGGAGAACAAAATATTCGGGGTTTCTGAGCTGAGGAGTGGGCCTCCTAGTTCCTGGCCCAGTGCTTTGCAATAAAACCACTTTCCATTTCTTAAAGACCAGTGTCCAGAAACCTGATTTCTATACACAATGGGCAGGGACCATTTGGTTCCTTAACAATCAGATCAGCAAAAATGCAGTGCCAGATCCCCAGACAACCCTGGACGGGAAGAATTCCTTTCATCATCTGCCACCCTGTCCTCAGCTGCCCTCTAGGATGGAAAGAGGTCTTTCTGGGAAGCGGCGCTTGGACCTCAGGCACCATCTGAGCCCAGACAAGTTACTTCTGCATCAGCAGTCCTGATCCTTGACAGCATATTGGCCTGCAGGAACTACACCGAGGTACAGGGGTCCACCCGTTACCCCTTCCTCACAACTCACCCCTCCCATCTCCCTACCATGTGAGATCCTGGGCTGGCAGAGGGCATTGACCCATACTGAGTGCCCTGCTCCCCACAGTTTTCTCTTTTTCCACTCCTGTTTTTCACTTCTTTCTCTGTTTTTTGTTTGCTTTTTTTTTTTTGTTTCCTTTTCCCATACGAGGCACCTTACTCTCCATCACAGTTTTCTCTTTTCTTTTATCCCCCATCCTGTTCTTTCTCTGCTTTCCTGTGTGCCTTTCCTTATTTTTTTAAAAAAATATCCCTTTTCTATTATTTTCTCTACAATCTCACCCTCTCTAGTTAGGCTTATTGTATTTATCTTTGATTCTGTTACTTGGCTTTTCATTCGCTCTGGTGGCAACGTAGGGTGAGCACTGGACTGCTGGCTACAAGTGCTCTGGAGTAAGGTGAGATCTATGTCAGGAAGAAAGAGAGACCAAGAAATGGGCTCACACAGTGGAGGAAGCAGGTGAGTGCAAGTTCAGTCAGGTTTTAAGCCCATGGGCTAGATGTTATGTGGGAGGCTTTTCCTGACATTTCCTCAAATAGCTCAAAAGACTGATGAACCAAACATTAACAGAGAGACCATCGGCTGATGGTTGGCGAGGCAGATGAATGTGAGATCAGCAGATCACCACTGACATTTTCTGGGATTTGGCAAGCAGTATGGCAGGCCTTTGGCACAAGTCCAAAGAACCAGAGGTCTATGGGCCAGGTGTAGGATTCTGACACAGCAAAAATCTAGCAAAAT